AATCTGCTAAGGACCTGGCCCCAATTTCCACCCTGACTCAGATATCATTCTTCTTTTCTCCAAAGCAGACTTCCCTAAGGATTTTTGGATTTGCAAGAGTAAAATTGGAGCTTCTAGAGTTAGAGGTGTCACACAGCCTGACCAGCACTCGGCGCTGGGAGCGTGTGGCTTTGCACACACGGGTTTGAGCCGCGCTGTGCAGATGTGGTGGTTGGTTACCAAGCAGAACCATCCAAACAGACCTACACTGCACTCCCAACCCTCTGCCTTTGCTGTACTGGTTTCTAGTGTTGATTCGCTCTGTTTGAAGATTGCTTTGCAATGCAAGATAGATGTGACCTTCATCTTAGCCTTTAAAAAGTGTGAGTAGCTCAGACTTCTTGCTAATGGGGATCATGAATGTCTCAGCTGTGCTCTCTTCCAGGGGGGCTGTGGGTAGTTCTCTTCCATTTGACATTTTTCTGAGCATTGAAACACGATGAGCATCAGGTCAACATCAGACCTCCCACCAGTTTCAAGAAGGTTTGGGCAGTGCCCCAGCCTGTTCTGCTAGCAAGCTGAAGTGAACAGTTAGACAAGAAGCATCAGGATCTCACAGCATCTTTTGCCAGCAACTTATTGTTTTTTCAGTTGTTTTTTCTTTGATTTTTTTTTTTTTTCCTCCTTGCTCTGTAGCAACTCAAATCTATCCCAGGCTGCTTCTGACATTAACAAGGCAGTGGATGACAGGCAAAATGAGTCCACGAACAATTCAGGGTCTCCCCGCTAAGTAATCATAAACACTGCAAGTTTGCAACAAAGCAAGCAGCTGTCTTTCTCCCTCTGGACAAGGATTGCTTCCTCACAAATCGAGGCTCTGCAGGTTTTCCAGCTGTCGGACAATGAGTCTGGTGCCTGTTATTCCCTCTCCTCTTTTTTTTCCTTTTTCTTTCTTTTAATGGAAAATATCTCAGCATTGACAGAACTCAAGTGACCCTCTCCAGCAGTGAATCAATACAGCCAAGGGACCAGGCTTTAACTTTCTGGCTGACGCTACTGCAATGGACACAGAGGGGTTGTGGTACTTGCACATCCTCTCTTCCAAGGGTTTATTACCTTCAATCACATTTCTTATAGGGAAGCAGATATTTATTTGGGGCTGGGAGAGGATTCAACAGTGCACAGCTTCTGTCCCAGAGCTGCTGAGGATGAATAGTCTGGGGAGGGTGGGCTCGACCTGGGAGAACCTCCAGGGAGGTAGGTGGTCACCTTGAGCTTTGCAATTTCCTTCCAGACTGCTAGAGCATGTATGGAGCCCCCAAAAAATTGTATCCCTGACCTAAATGTAGGCAAGTAGAGAGTGAAGATTACTCTTTATTACTTCATTACTTTGATAGAGAATTGATCCTGCCTTGGATTGACTGGCCACATGACCTTGGCCTTTTCAGATAAATTTTCTATGATATATTCTGAGGCAGCCTGCAGTGGACCCCACCTTTACACCACCTCATCCACGATGCAATTAGAGAAGAGCCTGTGCCACAGTGTGAGTGGTGGATTTACCTGCCCTAGGTGGTAGTTATTGCCCCCCTCAGTTGGGCACACAATTCCTCCTGGGCAGCTTCAGTGCCAAGTAAATCACATCTGTTCCAACCTCTTTCAGTAGGTGGCTGTGACGCTGCTCTGTCATCTTGCACTACTTCTTTCAGCGATGCCACCTTCTCACCCTGACTGTTAACTTAGAGCAGGCTTAATTTTACCTTGTTATGCTACAGCTGTCTGTGCCCTCTGCCCTCCCTCCGTCTGCCACCCTCCTCTGCAGTGTGTCTATCAAATAGCACATGTTGGGTGAAATACAGATATTCTTTCTGTTTATGATTGAATATAATAAAGTCTGGCTCCTGTGCCTTCCAGGTGGCTTTTGGACATGCAGCATTTAGTGCATGAAGTGATTGATCTCTGATCTTTAAAATAGAGCTGTGAAGACCACAGTGAATTTGCATGCATGGGGAGTATAAAGCCAGGAAATAGCAGCTCTGAAAACTCTCTAACCCCTGCCCTTTATTTCCTTGCCTTGAGTTTTCCATGTCTGACAATGTGCACAGCGGTGATTTATGTATAACCAGAGCAGCCTCCAGTGGCTGGATCTGTGAATTTTTCCAAGCTGCCCTTTATTTGGCTCACTTGTGGGGTTTTGCAGACTCCAACCCTGATTCCTCCCTGCTCCAAGCTGAGCTTTGGAAAAGGGGGGAGAGCTGGGAGCAGCGGGTGCCCTGATTACTCTGGTGGGAGGCGATTCTGCCCCTAATTGAGCTGCAAACAGCCGCTCCATCCTCGCTGCCGCAGGCCCGCTGTGCACAGCAGTTTTTGACAATAGTTGAGATATTGGGCTAGCAGAGCTGTCTGGGCCAGCAGCCCACCCCGAGGCAAGGGCAGCAGCCCCACAGCTGGCAAATCTGCCAGTCAGGGGATGTAGGAAACCTCTGCCAGTGCTGTCCTTAAACAATCCAGCCCTATAGGTGCTCTCTGCAGTGGTGGCTGTGACTGGGGGAAGCCAGACCTTACCTCTCTATGTCTCCATAGCTGTGCTCCTACATATTCTTTATCTGTGAAGGACCAGATGATCCTTCTCAGTTAGGGGGCTCAAGTATCACAGAGTGATAAAGCTTGCAAGGAATTGAGGTTGCAGGACACCTTTGTGTCCTGTCCTGCAGCTGAATGCTTCCCAGAGGGAACAGCTTTGAAAGCATCACTGCCAGGAGGAGAGAGAAATTTGGGGGTTTGTCTTTTAAATTCTCTCCCGGTGCCTTGGTGATTAGTTCTCAACGTGGTTTTTGCTTCTTAGGGTCCTTTGGGGCAAAACAGATGAGAAACAGGACTCTGACCTGGGAGTGATTACAAGGAGGTGTGGAAATGGAGCAAAATGTATGTGAAAGTCAGAACAAACCCCAAACGGTTCCAGTGTTCTGAGTGGCCTCTTGTCTTCAAGGACAGGAGCTTCAGAAGCAATGTACTGAGATGATAAATCCTACCAGGGAGCAAAGAGCAACTCAGTCTCTGCTACATCACTGATGTTTATGGAAAAGAAGGAGAGGAGGTGAGGCAAAGAGGTCTGGTTTGTGTCTAAGAATCGTCCCTTATAAAAAGATGGATTGCTGACACTTTTTCTTGATGCAGCTGCCCAGGCTTTCAAAGCATCTGAGATTTCATTATCTAAGAAGCAGTCACTGGCTTTGTTGGGGACTTCTGGCTGCTTTACAAAGCAATTCCAGTATTATTATTGGAATAAAACCACAACAACTACTAATCCTCTGTTTAAATGACCAGTAAGTTCCCTGCAGGCAATGCTCTGCCAAAACATTTATCCACCTAATTTTATTTCATGTAGTTTTTTTAAATTCAGATTTAACCTTTTGTGATGGGGGTTGTAGGCACTTCTGTTCAGAAGCACATTTTACAGACTACTGGGAATGTAATTCTTCAGTGCAGGGGAGGGAGAGGGCCTCTACTTATCCACTTTAAAGGTGTCCCACAGAGCTGTGAAAGTGCAAATTTCCTTTCAGGTCACTCGACCCCTGTTTTTTGGAGCAGAGCTGTCTGACAAGGAGCGTTTGGGATGGATGGAGCTGGAGCCTCTGTCCCCTGAGGATCAGGTGAGTGTAGCTGGCAGGAGGGCTTATGGGGACCCCCTGGATCTGCAGCTCTTTGAGCTTTTTTAATCTTGCTTATGGGTCTCTCCTGGGACTTGTTAGCACTGGGTGAATATTTCTGCTGGTGCAAAGGAACTGAAACAGAGAAAGTCCATCATCCCTGGAACTCAGATCCTACAGTCTCCAGCAGTTACTGCTTGGGGAAAGCAGTTAAGAGCAGGGCATATCCCAAATACCTTCCTGAGCATATCCTCCAGCTTCTGGGGTGTTATCAGCTTCCAAAGCCGAAGCTGTATCCAGATCTTCATGCAGAAGGTTCCTGGCACCTGTGCTGTCCATGATGGATGTTTAAAAAAGCCCAGCTAAACCTCATTGCGTGAACATATTGTGGTGCAGGTGGGACAGGACAGGTATCTGCTGATGCCGAGTTCATTCTTGAAGCTTCTGAGATTGTATCATGGGATAAACTCAAGTTCAGCTGAAAACAAACCAGGAAATTTTCCTGATTTTTAATCAAATAGGAGTAGGGGAGGGAATGCCATAAATCTTCTTAGGATGTGTCGTTTGGCCTGGAACAGCATGTTTCGATTCCTCCTCAGGTTGTTTTTCCCACCACACTCCTACTTTCTGATTTGAGTCAAACTTTTAAATTGAAAGCCAGCACTTCAAAGGGAAAAGGAGAATATTCTGCCTGGAAAATGTTTAACTGAAATATTGCAGCTCTTCTGAAATGAATAGTGTCATTTAGAAGATGTCAAAACAAAAAGCTTCCATCTTTTGAGTTTTCTCTTTTTACTTTTTTGTTTCCCCCCCCTCAGAAAAAAGTATTCCCTGACTTTGACACAGATTTTTGAATAGTTTGTCACCTCACCACATACATCCCCCTGCCCAGGCTTATTTTCTTAGCAAATTAAGAAAATGTCACCAAGCCCTGCCTCTGCCAAAGAGACCCTAGAAAGGGGGGAGGATAAGGTCACCTGTAAAAAAAAATATTAAAATTTTTTTTAAAAAAACAAAAAACAACAACAAAACAAACCATGAAGGAACATCCTCTAGAGATGGCAACAGATTTATGATATGGGAATCATGTCATCAGCACCACTTTATCAGCTTTTTCTTCTCTCCCTTCCTGCACGCCTGTGGCTTTTGGCTCGCTGGAGGAGGAGTGAGAGAAAAGCTGGCAGGAAAATGTTGATATTTTATTCTTGCTGTTATTTTTGCCTCTGTTGTAATGGGCACTAATGTATATCCCTGTGCATGCTTGCATTCGATCTCTGCATTCGTGTCCCTCTCCCTCATTCCTCCCTTATCCATCCATGCACAGCATGATATAAACAAACCTGCCTCTGGACATGTCATGGCTTAAAATAGATGTTCATACATCAGCCCTTCTACAGCAGCGGCAGCGGCAGCAGGAAGACATGGCTGACTGGATCTGACTACAACACTCCCTTCGAGCCGAGAAATCACAGCCCTCACAAAGGTAGAGTAACGGGGTGGGCGTCTCCTTCCTCCTGCGTGTCTGTCTGTCTGTCTCTGCAGAGTGTGCGGGGCTCAGCAGCCTGTGCTTGTTCAGTGATGCCTCTTCCGAGCTCGCTCTGTGCATCCAGGCAGGCTCTGGCTGTTTCTCCCCTCCCTCCGAGCATGGCACAACCGGCAGAGGGGCTCTGGAGGCAGCCATCAGCGTGCTCGGGGAAGCGGAGTGTGAGCCCCCAGGCTTGGCTGCCAAACATAGGGGTACAGCTGATGCCTGTGAGGGATTTGGGTGCCAGGAGTGCTTTGGGGTCTGTTCTGAGGTCTTGGCTGTGGGACAGATTCTCTTTGCCTGAAGCACTTCACGGGGGCTGGCGTGGTGGGGTGTTGGGGGGAGGATGCTGGAAGCAGCTTTGGGCCTGAGGTTTCTAGAGCTACATCCCAGGATAGATGTGAATTGCTATTTTTCCAGCCAGCTGTAGCAATAAGAGGGTCTGCAATTTGGCTAATTAAAGCTTTATCCTGATGATTTAGTTGCTTTTTTCAGACCCTTCTGCTGTTTGTTTCTTAACGCTGCCCGGAGCTGGTGGCATGTGGCTGTGCTGCAGCCAAGGTCACACAAGGTTTAAGAGCCCCGGCATATGGCCACGCTCAATGCCTTTTCCAGGTGGGATTTGCCAAGTCTGAATTCCCAGCATGAAGGAGTCCAAAATTCATCCGGGCAGGGGAGAAGTGTGACAGTGAGCTCTGGCCCATACCCTGTGCTCAGTGCCAGGGATGAGCGGTGCAGGCAGGGCTGACCTCTCCTGTGCAACACCCCAGGGTGCCTGGCAGGGTCTGAACTGCCACCCTGGGACAGGGAGATGTCCGTGGGTCTCTCTGAACTCCCCTGTGCCCTTGCAATGTTTTCCTCCTCTGTACATGGCCAGTAAATGGCTGGAGGCTTCTTCCTTCTGCACCGTTGGCTGCGGGCCGGTGCCTTAGGCAACATGTCAGAGCAGACAGAGACGCTGTGATCCAGCCTGGGCAGCCCAAGGTCGCTGCTTTTCCTCCCCTGAGTCCCACTGACAACTGTCCAGTGCTGAGCTGCTGCTGGGGCGGCTCTGATGGGATGCTGGGCAGCTCAGGGCAGCGGTGCGATGCTGGGAAAGAGAATTGTATTCCCGTGGGTGGGGGTTTCTGTCAGTGGGGCAGCAGCAAATGAGCAAAAAAAAGGGCAGCTGTGAGGAACGTGTGGCTGCAGGGACTGGTAACTGTTCCACGTGGGTCAGGCTGTCCAGGGAGGTCTCTTGCAGTTGTGTGACAAGTATCAGCACGATCTAAAGGTTTGAGAGCAGAGCTTGTCCTAGAGGATCTGCTCTGTAAAATGAGCTTTCTTATTCCCTGAAATTAACTCTTCCCACCCCAAACCAGTCGTAGATGTTAAAATACAGTGGCAGAACTGCTGTGGTTTTAGGGGTTAATCCTGCCTCTCCTTCCCCACAGGGTTTTGTGCCTGGTCCATAGGAGTCTGGGTCCTGGCCAGCCTCTACGTGGTGCCATATGGAATCCTCCACCTGTTTGGGGGCTTTTCCTCCCCAGTCCTGGTGGTTTGCCCAGACCTGGCTGCCTTTCATTGCTTCTGATGGCAGGTTGGCAGCATCAGTTCTTGAGCTGGCATTGTCCCGCTGGCAGGCAAAGCCCTGGAGCCAGCTCAGACGGAAGGTGGTCCTATGTAGAACATCTCTTGCCAACGTGGCCTCAACCCAAAGCCGTGGGGCTGGAGCAAAAGCTCAGCCTGTGGAGACTCAGCAATCTGGCTGCCTCTCTGGCTTCCCTCACCAGCCCTGGCATCATAAACTTCTCCCCAGCAGTACTGCTTCTTGGAAGGAAGCGTAGGTGATACTCTGTCTCACACTGGGAATCACTGGGTAGCTGACCTGACACAGCCCTCTCACCAGGAAGGTGAGAATTGGCTTCTTTGGGCCAGTATTTCTACAAAAAGGATGAAGTGAGAGGTCCACAGTTCTTCTAACAGCATTTCCTCTGCTTCCCTAACAGGACCGTGGGTGGCATCACCAGCAGAACCGATCTCCAGGCCACTCTCCGGCCTTCACGAACCCACAGGTATGCCTTGTGGGTCTCGGAAGCTCCAATGGCTTTCCTGTCCAGGTTCTCCAGGAATGGCACCAGGTCACCAAGCCGAGGCTCACGGGACGAGCGCAACAACCACCCCATCCTCAGCGTCTTTGAGCTTGAAAGGTTGCTGTACACGGGAAAGACAGCTTGTAATCATGCTGATGAGGTCTGGCCAGGACTCTACCTGGGCGATCAGTATGTATCAGAAGGGAACAAGAACTGGGGAGGTCCGGGGCTATTTTTGTGAAATGGGGAAATCTGGGAGGAGGAGGAGGCTGGGAAATGGGAGGGAGAGGAGGACACGATGGGTGTGGTACATTGGGACAAAGGAGGAGGAAGGACTCTCTGCACAGCCGTGGGAGGTGGGCGGAGGTGGAGTGTCCATGGAATCAGGGACTGTGAAGTTGACTTAAAATTCAGGAATCTGAAGAGTCTGGCATTTTCACTTTGCATACTGTCCTTGGAAACTTTTAACTAGTCTAAACTTAACGTACCCCTGCACTGTTCCTTATTCTCTGCAGAGATATAGCAGCCAACCGGCGGGAGCTGGCTCACCTGCACATCACCCACATCCTCAACGCCTCGCACAGCAAGTGGAGGGGGGGTGCCGAGTACTACGAGGGCACGGGCATCCGCTACCTGGGCATCGAAGCCCATGACTCACCTTCCTTTGACATGAGCCCCTACTTTTATCCTGCAGCTGACTTCATCCACCAAGCGCTGAATGAAGGTCAGTGGTAAAGATTACTGGGAGAGAAGTGAGGAGCAGGGAGGGGAAGAAACTTCACTGGGCAGGTGGAAGCTAGATGGACATCCTATTGCTAAGCATCCTAGAAAACAAAGGTATTTCTAGCCTGGGGTGATGTATCCTGCACTGGATCACCTCCTCCAAAGAGCGAACAGGCTAGAGGAGAGCACTGGCCCTCCAGGTCACAGCCCCAACCTGTGTCCTGAGCTGTGGCTGGTCCTATTCAGTCTGTTTTGGGAGATCATGATGTATTGATACCCTCTGCCAAGAGCAGGACCTCAGTGCATGGCAGTTGTACCATAACTGGGGCTCTGCACCCGACCCCAGAGGCTGCAGACCTGAGCCACAGCTCCAGGATGCACCATGGCAAACAGTTGGGTCCTCAGTATTTTTTTCATCGGGATGTTTGGTCTGCTGTGACACAGCCCCTGTGTTTCACCCCCAGGAAGGATCCTTGTGCACTGTGCTGTCGGGGTGAGCAGGTCAGCCACCTTGGTCCTCGCCTACCTCATGATCCGCCACCACATGCCCCTTGTAGAAGCCATAAAGACGGTCAAGGACCACCGTGGTATCATCCCCAACCGGGGTTTCTTGCGCCAGCTGGTCGCCCTGGACAATGCCCTGAGGCTGAAGAGGAGTGCGTGAAGGAGGACGAGAGGGGTTGTGCGGTGGGAGCGTTGGGTGTGTGGTGCTCACCTGAGCCTGATGCCCGCTGAGTGGCAGAGAAAGGGCTTTCCTTGTGGTGCAAACGCTTGGCAGATGATGGGTTACATGCAACTGGCCCCTGGGCTTCCCCCACAGCTAAGGGGGTCCCCAGACACGCGAGCTATTCCTAGTGGTAAACTGTAGGCCCTCAACCTGCAATCTTATCACCTAGGTAGGCCTAACATATAGCCTCCTTCCCAACCTGCTCACTCCAAGATGCCTCCGGAGGGACTCAGCCCCACGTTTCAGGTTGCTCTATCCCTGTTGTCTCCAGGAAGCCTTCAAGGCTTTGTTCTCTTGGCAGATGCATTTGCCAAGCCAGCCCCATCCCTCCCAGGAGACTGAAGCTCTGTGTGTTCCTCGTCTCGTTTCCCATTTGTTTTTGGTCTGTGTAGCAATGTGAATTAGGTCTGGTGTGTGGGCTTGGGCAAACAGGCCTTTTGTTGTAGTGTTTGGATGTCCTCCATGCCTAGCGCTAACCAGTGAAAATAAAGACAGTGCTAAGGAAAAACCTTGGCCATCCCTTGTGTGCTTTGGGACAGACTTTGTGCTCAGGCTGGGATCTGTCACAGGAGTCAGTGGGACAGCATCACCCTGAGTGTTCTGGGTGGAGATGGACCTGAGTCCTCCCAGTTCCACAGTCTACGGGCTGAACCTGTCAGACCCCACTGGTGGCCAGTGTCTCTGCTGGGCCTCCCCACTCTTTTTTTCCAGCAGTGGGGACAGAAAGGTGGGCTCCTGGTGGAAAGCAGAGCTGGGGTGGCAGTCACTAGGGTCACCATCCATCTCAAGGTGGTGATGTCAGTGTCCCAAAGGCAGGCAGGCACCGAGCTATCCACCCAGGCTTGCAGAGGGGCCGGCTGTGAAAAACACCCTTGCAGCTTGCAGAGGGAATGGGTGAGCCGAGCCCCAGGAGGGTGGCCAGAGCCAGGAGCAAGTGTCCATGGTAGCACCAGCCCCATGAGTGGTGGGTGGCCCCACGGGTCCTGGCCTGCCCCTGCAGTCTGCCGGCGCTCACTGTCCGCCTGCTCTTATTATAGCCCCATTCTTCCTCCGCTTCCTGAGAGCGCGCGAAGCACCGCTCGGCTGTGGGCTCTGTGTTGTGCTGAGGTCAGGGAAACACGTAGTGAGAGGAGCCCCAAGGGTGAGCTGCTGGGCTTGGGGCACACTGAGACCTGTGCTGTAAGCACCCCATCCCTGCTGCCTGGTGGCCCCAAGCTCCAGGGAATGGCTGTTCAAGTGCTATAGGGAGGGCAAACTCTAGTTTGCAGCTGCTGTGTGTCCCCCAGCTCCTGGGCTGTGGGTTCTGGTTTT